GGTTCCCGCCGTTTCCGAATTCCTACGATTGTTCTCGACGATTATTGTAGATTATTGTAGATTATTCAATTGCGTTAACGTTAAACAATTCTACTTGAATAATTTTTTCGTGCTTTATCCATTGACACGATAGCAAAATTTGTATGAAAGCTACGAAACCTCCTATACATATGTTAAAAATATTCTTGCACTTTCACAGTTTAGTGAAAGAGCTGTAAAAAAGTTTTTAATCTTCATCGAATAATATACCATATATAATTGTTATAGTAATTACATTAATATAGTTTTTAGTCTTCTCTAAATAATATTCTACGTATAATTATTATAGTAAAATGTCCAGTAAAAGGTACATGCCTATATCTTCAACGAAACGTTACAAAGCATTTGCCTGCTTTCAACGCGAAAACAATGAATGTCTTGAGCACCAATATTGTTTTGCATTCATAAAGCTTTGTGAATAGTAAATTGTTACTTCACAGGGAATACATTTACCGTGTGATACGAAATCGGAGAGATACACAGTAGCAAGTGAGGGAAGCTCGACACAAAGCGTTCAAATATTTTTGTAATTTTTGCTTCCTGAATTATTTATCTTGGTATTTCCCCGAATGTAGGTATTGTTATTGTTGGCAGCATTCAACGACCGTGTAGAAGACCACGTACCTATACTTGTAAGATGAAATTTCTCCAGTTACCTACTATCCTAAATTACTATACTATATAAAAAGAAATATTTTAAACAAAAATTGAACAAAAGTCAAAAACAGGAGTAGACAAACCGTGCACGAAGTGTTTCGTTCGATTGTTTCTCGTATCAAATAAAGCTAGTCCAGGCAATTGCAGGTAATAATGATCAGAATATACCGTTACCAATGCATTCTGCAGCATTCACTTTCGGTCGAGGATGTCGATTCACGACATCTCATGGAAGCCTTATAATTCGTATCAAAGCGGGATTCTGGCGTCGTATTGATCGATGCCTGATGAAACAGCGATTCGAAACACACAGCGAAGGAAAAAGGAAAGCGACAGAATTCTCCGAGCTAACTGACTGTTGACTATCCGAAAGCGAGAAGCCGACTAATTGGACCGACGAGAGCGTTTGAACTCCAGCACTTGGTGAACCAATTATTTGTTGAACTTCGAATTGTTTGTCATCGAAAAGGAAATACAATTGGCCGATAATTCCTCCAAGAATCGGGCCCTAGAATTTACTATCCTATCGAACGTGGTCTCCAATTCTCATCGTTTTATCTCGCCTATTATTTGTGATTTTCGTAGCACTGTTTGAAAGTTGAAGTTTGATGAAGATTCGCTGCTTGATTCATCGTTTCGTACGCTTTGTCGCTTGAAGCGGTAGTAACGTTCCTTTCATGTATCCGACGAGTTGCATGTATATAAAATTATTAAAAGAAAGGTTTGAAAATGGAGATTGCAAAGAAAGATTTGCGAAGAGATTTTTTTAATGAGTTCGATTTGAATTTGATTGAATGAATTTGATTAGATGAATGTGATAGAAGAATGAGATTGGAAAATTGTTTAATTAATCGTTCAATTAATTCATGGCGCAGCAAGTCATTGAACATCTGTTTCCTGAAATTTGCTATTTATCGAAATATAGTAATTTCCTTTTTATACCTACTTATTACCATACAGAACAAATATAAATATATTTTCAATTTTGTGCAATAATTTGTTTCAAACGAGTTTGGAACGAGTTTCGCGAGGTTTCCGCGAAATCCTGTATAAATGCCGTATCATTTTGCGACGTACAATCAATGAATTTAAATTCACTTCTGCCTGATAAGTAGAGAAGTCAATAACTGGACAGACGTTCTCTATCTACTTGGTAGACAGCTACTGCTTCACGATGCAATATGAGTTAATTAAAGTTAAATTAACGGATTTCTTTCAGAAGATAAGTGAAGTTTAATAGCTGTATACGTAATAACATGTATATATATATACACGCACTAGAGTAGCCTCTTTATTACAGAAGCTATTTCAATTTATCGATAAGTAATTTTCCGACAGCCGTCCTTTCATGCTATTCCGTTCCATTTTCGTCAGTACATTTTTTAATCGCAAAACCTGAACCTATCAGGAAATAACACGCGCGAGAACGTACAATTTCGCACGATATTAACAACCTGCCAAATACGATAATTCAAATACGCTTCAGTCGAGGGCATCAAATTTTGACAACGCTGAGTTAAACAAACTTACAGCGGTTGCATAGCGAAGACTCGCTTAATTCTATGCGCGATGCTGTTTCAGACACCGCGTGCGACGATAGCCGGTTAAACAATGAAATTCTAAACAGGACAATAGGGACCGTAACAGCCACGATCATTTTCCAGTTCTTGACTTCTATCCTGCGGCGAGACGCGTCCTTTATACGCGTTATCTAGAAATGAAACCAGATTTCAGTGCATCGCTCGTAACCTTTTAATTTACGGCTTCCATTTATTACCGCTAAACGATCCATCCCACCTTTCTCATGCACGATATTTCCGAAGCCAAGTTCCTTTTATGGGATACGTCGTAACTGCGACATCGAACGCCGCTGTCTTAGGAAATACCAACGTTTATTATAGGCGTTGCGCGGTATCGATAAAAATTTACGGGAAGATCACGGTGCAGAAACGATCCTGTCCCTCATCCTCCGTTAAACATCGAAGAACAGAGTTGGACAAATTTTATTCCAAGTTGAGGCAAGAGATAACTATCCGAAATAATTTACATCGCGCCATTATTTTCGATATCGTTACGGGTTTATACGCGAGAGGCGGACAACATCGACTCGTCTGAAACAACGCCACTTATTTCGTTATCTCTCAATGACAAATTTGACGAAGGAAATAATAGCAAAGACAAGGCAATAAAGAGATTTGTATGTCAATCTCTGAAATAATTATTTCAAGCGTAATTACAAGGAACGAGTTAATTTGTTCCATAATTATCCCGAATAATTATCTTATGTAATTAGGGAATGACATAGCGTGTCAGTTGAAACGATATCCTAAGTAATTCCATTTCGAAAGTGTTCCCCGATCTCGAGATAATTACGAAATAGAGTGACGTATTGTATTCGCAATAATATTTTAAATAACCATATCCATAGCCAATATCGATGATCCGGGTTTTCGTCGAGCGATACAAAAATTGCTTTTAGAAATAATCGCCTATGTATCGTGTACTCATTTTTCATACTGATGAAATCTGGTCTGAAAATAATTTTTATGTCGCTCGAGACAGTTTAGGAGATTAAAGATTTAAGACGTTCAGACACCTTAAAGCTGACTATGCTGCAAGAAAGTATTACGAGTTCGATCGTCGATATTTGCCATTTCGTCGGCGCTTGATCGACCTTTCTAAAACCTGCGCATATTACACGCTGAATCTTGGCGTAACTATTTGCAGTTTATCGGTATTTGGACCGCGTTTTCGATACTCGAAGGATGCGCGGTAAGTTTGGTTAAAATCGACGACGTACGCTCGACGTCAAACGCTCGCGTCGAAGATTCAAAAAGCCACGGTAGAAACGCGAAATTTGTCAGGTTCGAAGGACGCCAGTAGCGTGTATCGAGTGGCTCTCGTCGGCTGAACTTCCGCAAAATATCTCCTGCCCTGTTCACTTCGCGGCAAGATATCTCGTTAACGCGTTTCAGAGCTTGTCCCGGTTCGATACGCCACGAACACCGTTCCACTTTGTGTATTTCCTCGACGTGATTCCTTCGGAAGCGCGGCAACTTTTCTAAAGGGTGTATTCACTTTCCAAGTTGCCCGATGAAAGTATCGTATTTCCAATATCCGGCTTTCCGCGGACGCTCTTCATCCAGAGCCGTGAAACTTATTTTTCCGCCGACTTCGGTCGCTTTCCCCGGCCGAAAGGAACTTCTGCCGGTCGGAAGTCCGCGAAAGGGGCGAATTAATAGAATACAAGTTCGGACAGGATAACGTCCCCGCGTCGAATAATAATAACCTGTCCGACTGGCGACTGCAACGAGCGGTTGTTCGCGTTCGAGTGCATTCGGCACGAGAATCAAAATTCCCTGGCCGCGTTCGCACGCTCTACGGCGCGGCGTTCCAACGACAAATGCCTGTAACGTGCAGTTTTCCTGAAATTCGACAGCAGGAGATGCCCGGGATACTTGGCGGAAGTCCGTTTATCGAATCTTTGTCAGTACATTTGCCGGCTATTTTCTCCGGGTCGAGTGTCTCGAATGTTTGTTCGTTGGAAAAGTTAAGTAGTTAAGTCGATGATGTTGCACGACGAAGTAGTATTTCCACTTCCTTTCTTCGCTCGT